AGTCACTATGACCAAGGCTAACCAGGTTTCTGCCTTCTTCAAATCATTTAAAAAAAAAAAAAAAGAAAAATGCAGGATTTCAAGGTTGCGACTACTTTTTATTGCTGTTTTAAATCTGTCAGCAGAGTGCAAGTTGGGATTCTTGGGCAAGGGAGTGAAGACTACTCCAGTGATAAAGCAGACCTCCTAACTCTTTGTCCAACTTCATTCCTAAGGAAACAAGGATTTTCGTATCCCCTGTCTATGGAGAAGGGTAGACATAAACATGATGTCTATCTTTGGAGTGGGTATGCACCCTAATCCTATATACTGAGTGTTATGCCCCACTAGGTGCTGAATATTCTAGAGTTGGGGCATTCCATGTTAGTTGAGTGCTTTCTGTCTTGTCTTTGCCTGAGGACTATCTGGAGCAGTTTTTGTCCTGCCCTTCATTTTTCCCGCCATGTGGCTATCTGGGAGGCCATGGAGCAAGGCAGAGATGAGTCTGGATAAACTAGCCACTAGTTTTAAGGTGATCCAGTTTACTTGCATTGGCACAAGAGCAACTGTGATGTGAAGTAGGACTGACTGATACTGAGAGGAATGCTGCTTTTGTGTCAGTACCAGTTTATGCCATTTTATGCCAATTGCAGTCTAAGAGCTTCATTTCCACCAGTTCAGGGAAGCACTACATTTGTAACAAAATTTACAGGCTTGGGCTATAGAGGTGATATAATTAAAGAGTCTATCCAGATTTCTGTAGCAAAGACCTACTGAGAGGAATCTCCAGTTGCTGGTTAAAAATCTCCACTTGCTTCTTGTTTCTACCATGGTTTATGCTGACTATGTTCTGCTTATTGTGTAAGTCGCATACTGCTGATGTCGAGTACAGGAGACTTAACATATGAACTCATGTTTCAGTCATGCCTCAAGCACACAGCAGAAAAAAGGCTGACCTGAAGATGTTCACTGTGGCACAGCTATTACATTCTCAGTCAGAAGGTCCCTCCATAGGGCACGTTGGTTCCTTACACGCCGCCGCAGTGATTTAATGAACTAGTTGTTAGATGTGAAACAATTCAGAGGGATCAGGTTTTCTGCTTCTGCATCGAGAATGTCAAAAGCAGGTTGATGGGATAACGTAGCTAATGCTGCGTTGTTTTCAGACCTGCTGGCATGACACCAGCCTAGGCTTTCGCAGTGAAGTTTGCCACCTAAGAGCTGTGCTGCGACAGGCACTCCAGCAGCAGGTCCAATTGCTGTGAGCAAGCAGGGGTGGCGATGGACAGCAAGCAGCAAGTTACAGCAGTGCCAGTGCTTTCTCTGCAGGCAGGCTTGCTGAGGTAGAAGGCGTGTTTTCTTTACCTTTCCAGTCTTCGGAAGTGTGCAGGTCTTCCGGAAACCTCGACAGTCTTGGTATGCTCCTGCTCCTTTGCCTGTGAGGGCAGGACGTGGCAAATGGTGATCAGTGAGCTCAGGCATTTATCCAAGATCACCTGCAGGGAGGTGGGATTTGGACTGGGATCTCCCATGGCCTGATGATCTTCCTCACCACCGAGGTATCCTCTTGACTTAAAGCCTGCCAAGATGGCTCTGTCCTTCCCCCAGATGAAATGGCTGACCTGTTTATGGTTTTCTCCAGAGACTTTGATATTCTTTCTGGCATTTATCTCGTCTTTACCATCGTTTGCTCCTTGTAGTGACCATTGAACAAAATCCTTGCAGACAAGCGGAATAATATTCAACCAGTGGATGGAGGTATATAAAAAGAAATAATTCAGTTTATTCTCTCATTTTTTTCTGACTGTACAGGCAGCTGTGAATCACCAGCACTACTCACCTTTGAGTGTAAACCCCTTGTTTTGTTGTTATGACATGAGTGTTTATTATTGAATTGTACAGTGACTATAGGAAATGTTCTGTGAGTAGTTGTTTTTCCCATGTCTGGAGCCAACTTGTCGAATTTGCACACATCTAATGTAGGTGTATACAGTGTCTCAAGTGCTAATTTCTATCCCATTGATTATAAGAAAGTCTGGAGGACTAGATCAGATATAGACATATCTATAGTTAAGTAGGACAGTTATTACCCATCATATATGGTAGTTTCTGACACCATTAATATTTTAAGGGCTCAAAGAAAGCTTTCGGGGAAATTAAATTTACCTTAAAATTCACTAATGTTATAATCAATGCAAAGATGAGCCATTAGTTTGAATGCAGAAAGGAATAGTATTGATCATCATCACTGTCCTGTGCTCCTACAGATTACCTGATAATAAAAGTTTGATGTGCTTTACATGGGAATTTAAATGTCACTGTACCCATTTTACAGATGGAGGAACTATAGCACAGAGGCTGTGAAACACATTTAATTAAAGTGAAAAGTGTTAAATGCATGGGTATCCCATTAAAGTCCAGCTAAACTAGGTTGCTTTCTACTTTATTTAGTTAACTGCAGTGTTTAACATCCCAAATACTCTAAAGTGTAATTTGAAGTCTATAGATGAAGTTTAGCTGTCATTCTTAGTTTGTAGGATGGCTCCCATCTAAAAGAAGGGGACCACCCTTTTCCCTCTGTCAAGCATATGGAGAAACAGGAATGCTTAAGCTCAACTTTACATGAAACTGCATGAGAGAGTGTTGAAAGTATTTGTTTTCTTTCCTCAGATGCCTTTTTTTAATTAATTCCTTTGATCAGGAATGGGTTAGTTGCATTTTTCTGGGGTAATGTAGCATATCTGACATTTATGTGTTTCATTAGCCATGAGTAGCTGTAATTTTATTAAGATTTCTAGCATGTTCAAATATTAGACTTAAGCCCTGTCTTATGGCAAATATCAGTGTTTGAATATGCTAACAGAAATGTTTTTCTACTCCTTGAAGATAGAGTACTTAATGTAATTGGTAAATCAGATGATATCTAGCACTCCATTGTAATGTTCTACTTTACATGTAAATTATATTTTGAAGCACCATATCTTTTCTCAGTAGTGATTAATCCTTGAAATAAAGGGGGAAGGGGAAGTAGCTAGTTTGTTTCTAATGATGCATTCCCCCTTTGGGAAAGATTAACTATGTACAACTTTGTTGAGTTTATCAGTTTGCAATGAATTGTTGAGTTGTCCATGGAGACCAATTCTGTTCCTTCAGAAGAGTGTTCACCAGGTTACATTGCACTCTTTTTCTTTAAAAGAAATAAGTTCTTACATCTCTAAGGCAAGAGATAGTAAGTTCCTTGCTAGCATTTGAACTTAAATAAATCTAGCAAGTAAAACTAAGCTGTAGTATGTCTGATGGGTGGAGAAAAGGCAAAGAGGGAGAAGACACCTAATTCAAAAACCACTCTTATTTTGTGTGGTTTTGGTTTGCATGTCTAAATTTCAGATTGTATTCAGTGATGTGTGCTGATTCATCTTTGCCTGTGACATGCTCTCAGCCGGCCTTTAGCATCATTGGTTGCCCTGCCTCCTTCTCCTGCTCTTTCTCTTTTTCAGGTTGTACAGAGATATTAATGACTTGATTAATTTTGTTGAAAGACCTATCTGTTGCCTTCTCTACCTCTAAGTCCTACAGCAGGAAGTGGGAATGTATGGTAACATCTAGCTGACTTCCTGCAAGTGAGGGGTAGAACGTCAGTGCAAAAGTTGGGGTTTCCTATGGGGAAACTATGGGGGATTCTTGTTAGCTGTGTCTTTTCTGTGTATGGAGTCAGTAGACGGCACCTCGCAAAATGTTTCAGATCTAGTGGGGAAATACTGTCACTTGGGAATGCTGCTGAATCTCCCTTAGTTAGGTGAGCTCTGTAAACTACTGCTTTATTTAAGACGGTATGACTTGGCCCTTGCTCAGGAGTGGGAATACTAGCAGAGAGTGCTCGAGCAGTGATGTGTAACAAGTGTGTGAGCTCAGAGGTACTCCAGCCTTTTAAAAGCTATTTGGAGGAATAGCTTAATGGATAACGATCAAGTGCAACAACATCTGCGTATTGAATCAATTTAGCATCCATATACAGAAGTGTTACAGTCTTCCTTTGTTCCAATATATGAAACAAAAGATGGTTTGCTAGCAATGAGAGTGTGTGTTGATGTTCCTTCTCGTGCCAGGTAGCGCGCTACATGTGTCATGTGCAGCCATGTGGTGGGTTTTGTGGTTTGGTTTGGTTCGTTGGGTTTTTTTTGGCTAAAACTGTACTGAGAACTGGCATTCGGCTGGGGGATGGCAATAAATAAAAATGCTTTCCGTCCCTTGTACTGAAAACTATTGAACATTAGTATTGTGGGTGTGGGACTGATTCACCTGCCAAAGGCTTGGGCTCAGCCTAAAGATTCTATGATTCTATTATGATTCAAAGACCATTAGAAGTCACAGTGTATCTTTCCACTTACTGGGAAAATATGACAAATGTAAGTAGGCCTGCTAACCTGTTTTTGTTTGCCTGGGTTTTGGCTGCAAGTGTCACAACTTTGAAAGTATTCAGATGCCAAGTGAATGTAAAATAAGTAAATTGGAAGAATAAATACAAGACAAATATCTTTTTTTTTTTTTTTTCTCTTCCCCCCCCATTCTTCTCTCTCTTTCTCCCCCTGCTCCAAAATTGCAGCCACAGGAACAAGTCTTCAGGCTGGCCTCACCCTTCAGGGACCTGGAGCTTGAACCAGGGGACACCTTATGGATGGGAGATGACGGCAAACAGAGATGGAAGAGACTACTTCATCAAGTAAGTGGGCAGTGTGACCTGTGCAGTCTGTAGCACATCTGTTTTGATTTATTGTACAGACATAGCTCTGACTGTACTTTACTGCGCCTTGTTTTGGTACTGGGTGATTTCATTTACCCAAGAAAACGCTGATAATATAAGGGCCTGTAACTCGTTGAGGAATTACAACAAATGTCATTAACAAAAAAATAAAAATGCCCTGTTTAAAGAATGAGGCAAAAGATCAGTTCTGACTGGGACTAACAATTCTCCTTCATCTCTGCCATGTCAGCTTTTCTAGTCTGTCTAATATATTCATTGTATTAGCAATGAGAAAGTGTATATTTTGATCCTGTATAGTTAATATCCTAATTCTTAGATTTCGCCTAGTCCTTTAGCTCTGAATTTAAACGTTTGCAAAATAAATGTGGTGTGGATGATATGATTGTAAACAAAATTGGCTTTTCTTTTCCCAGTGAAAACTGTGGATACTTATTCTTTAAAATCACTTAAGTGGCTTGGATGAACCACAGTTTGCTGTTCTAGCAAATGTACTCTTACATGGCTTTGGAACTTCTTCGCTAAGAAGGGGTGATGGTGGTGAGTTAGCAGAACCATTGCTTGATTTTGCAGCATTAGTTGCTTTAGCTTACATTCCATTTTAAGGCTAGCATTTTGATTCTGCTCATGTGAAGAGTTGGTATTTTTTTAATTACTATTTCATTTTTATGTTTATTAGTCTGATTAGAAAGGTGTGCATGCTTTAAAAAAGCATGATGTCTTAGATAAGAATTACAATTCTTTCTTTTAACACAGAGTAAAAACATCAGACTTATTTTAAATTGATCATTAAAAGCCCTTAATTCACTCAAGGTCCTTCATCTGCAAAACTGTAGTTGTACAGTGTAAGAATGAGGATCCCTGTTACTCTGCTTTCTCTTCCTTCCTGCTTTGCCCAGGGTGTGTGCCTTGCTTCCTAGGAGGCATTTGCTTTGGGAGCAAGTTGTCTGGGTTAATGAGGGCTTAAAAGCTAACTTTGAAATGTCGTTTTCTTCCTTAAACAAGTATTTGTCGTGCTTTGCATGTCTGTAAGACACCGGGTGCAGTGCTGGACAATGTGAAGCTGAATGCCAGGCAAAATTTAACTGTATTAGCACACGTTTTCTGCCTGAACTAATTAAGCTCGTCAAGAAGTACAGGTAAACCTCCAAAGTACTGGGCAGATGTGACTCTGCTGCTTCTGTTACTCTAGTTAGTGAAGGGACCTACACACCCTGGCTGTCCGTTTTTTCTGCAGACTGTTGGCATGTTCTCCTCTGCGTGACTGAGATTCATTTGAACAATTAATATCCTGCTTCGGAGGACAGGCACCACAATTGATTCCTTCTCTTTTCTCACTGGTCACATAATGGGATGCTGCACTTGTTGTGTAGCTATAAACAGCTGTGACTTGCAGAATGCAGTGCATTAGTACTCATTAATTTTGCAATTTGGGAACGTTTTCTAATTCTCAGTAGCTAATGATTATTTTGTTTATTTTTTTGGATTGCCTTTTAGTACCTTAAAGTGCCATATCCCTCTCTCAAATGCAGAAAACTGCATCTAGGAACAAAAATCCGTAACAGGCAGTGCCAAATTATGCCTTAAGTAATGTTAGGCTTGTGGTGGTGGTGGTGTGTTTTGGGTTTTTTTCCATGCTCTCATAAGGTGCTTGCACTCTGTTTTCTTTGGGGCCCTGGTCTGTCATCCATTTTTCTCTGCATGTGGATAGCAGACTATGTGGAAAAAAAAATGAACTGCTTTAACAGGTGGAGAGAATGAGACTTCTGAGAAAGGTGGTCTGCAGAAGCCTTTGATATTTTGTGCCAGACTTTCTTACCCACTGATATCTCTGAGCAGTCTTAAGTGCAAGTTGAACAATGCTGTGTACGCACACCCTGCATGAGTTACAGTACGTATTCTTGTATCAAAAGTTTTAAAGCAACAGCGCTGGCTGTAACACATGCACCAGCCATGTCTCCAGAGCAGTAACACATCTTATATGAAATGACAGTCCCCTGGGATGCATTAAAAGCCAGTAAAACTTCAGAAACGGAATGAAAGCAGGAAACCACTTGGAACCGTGTATTGCTGTACCAAATCACCAGCTACCCACCATTACTTGTGAACGTCAGGCCAAGTAGCTGCTATGACATGACTGGGTAGTTACGTGGACATGTATCTTCATTTTAGAAGAAAGACCAAAGACTGAATACGCCTAGTGACTTTGCCAGCGATTCCTCTGTGGAGAGATATAGTACCTGTTCTTACAGTGTCTGTTATTTGTCCAAGGAGAAGCCCTCTCTGGCTTTCAAAATGACTGCTTTTGCAAATACTACATGAAACTACATAAATGAAAATACTATTTAATCTTTTTCCTTCATTTTTCAGGCTTGGGTTTTAGGAATTAAATCGTGACATTGTTGTTGACAGTTATGTCAAGAAAGGCAGGAGAGAGATCAATGAGATAGCATTTCATATTGTCTCCAAAGCTTTTTATAGCCGTACAGATTAACAAATTGTATCACACTGAAGGAGAAAAAGCAATTCAAATCCTTCACTTGGTTTTGATTAAAGATGTATAAACCAGGTATTATCACAATGAAATGTGCGCATGAGTTCTGTACAAGCAAATAACATAATTCATAGCAACATTAACTGCTTTTTAGTTAAATAATTTCCTTAGTGCCATATGTGCATATCCATTCAACTGCAAGCAGACATACTGTAATTTTGAAATTGTGGGAGAACAGAGAATCCAGGAGAATCTTTTGGTGAAATGAAAAGTAATTATGTAGTGTTTGTGCAAATGCTTTAAGGCGTGAATGGGAAGAGATGTTTATTCTTTCTGCTGAAGCTAATTTGGTTTCTTTCAAATTTCTGAAAGTCCCTATGGCCTGAGCTAATCAGGGGCAGCTGCCATTGCCAGGCAGCACTTTTGTAAAAGTGCGAGAAGAGCCTTTTATCAAAATGTTTTGAGATGTCGCTATCGATTCATTATCTCTTCTGTACAGATGACACAACCAGGGTCATTCTGCAAACCTCTAAAATACTTTTTCTTAAGTTTAGGCCATGGCAAATTAAAGCTTCAGAACTTCACCCATTCCCATTTAACTTGCCACTTTTACTTGAAATAGCTTTATGAGCTAAGTAATACATTTCAGTATGGGAGGATGGCAATCATCTAGTATTCTTCCAGTGTGTTTCTGTACTGCACAAGCTGTATTAAGCTGGACCTTTACTATGAAATAGTTTACAGTGTATATTTAACTGTTTTAAAGGCCTGTTTTCTTTGCATTTATTATATACGCTGTGTAGTATTTGATTATGAGAAATTTCTGTAATGCTAATTTGAATACAACCATGACACACACACTAAAAATGTATTTGATGGGAGTGTAGAGTTTCAGGGAGATAGCATGCAAAGCAGGAAGGTTTTGGCTGATTTTGTCCACAAAGGGTTTAGCCTCATGGCAATCTTGGCTTGCCTAAGTTGCCACTGCTGAGATCTTACTGATTTTTGGACTTGTACATTTTCACTTTTCCCTTGTGTCAGTCTTGCTGCTTGTCAGACCTGTAGAGGAGTTGATAGAGGGAAATAAACTGGCAAAAGCTAATAAAAAAAATCAATCCTACAGAGAAAGCCATGAATTTTATGTCTGTTTAGCTCCCTGAGCCAGTCCTCTGCACGGTAAGGTAGAGTTGCAGAATAGTTTAGTATTGAAGAAACCTCTGGAAGTCAGCTGGTCCAGCCTCCTGCTCGGAGCACGGCTAATGCCAGGTGATCAGCAGCATTCCTGACCCATGGAAGTATCGGACTGATGTGGGAACAGGGTTGTAACAGACTTGTGTTGGCTTAAGCTGCCCTACAGCTGCACTCTAAGGTGCAAATTGAAGTAACATTTGTTGCCATGAAAAGTCATACGTACCCTTTTGATTCCTATTCTGATTTAATTCCTAAGACAGTAGGTCCTTTGGTATTTTTGTGGATCTGGCTTCTATCATTCACATAAAGACCAGAGACTGTGAAATAAGATTGACTGAAAGGAAGTGTAGCCCTTCCAATGTGGCCTCAAAGCAACAGTGGTCCCGTTTAGGTGTAGTCAGTTATTACACTCTTAAAATATTTTTTTACATGGGTCTGTAAGGTCAGTTTATTGCTTTATCCTTATTTGCAAGACATGCTATTGGTCATGTTTACTTTAACTCTTGCTGTTGCCTCAGAGAGGATGACAGGGTCTGACTGTGTTACCAGTTTGGTTTGCTCCCTATTTCACTCCAAGGACCCTGACCATCTGTACTTCATGCATATTAGCTTACTTCTGTGCTCCAGTCTGGAACAAACTGAGCAAACAGCTGGGACCCCAGGCAAGAAATAAAAGGAAGTACACCCAGAGATGAAAGCCTGCAGCATTATGGCTTGGCTTGAAACCACAGGTCAGTCCCTGGAGCGCACAGCAGAGCTGGGAGAGACCTACTCGTCAGAAGTCTTTCCGAATCTTGTTATGTTAGTATGATGTGGTTGCTACACCAGTTGAAACATGTCACAACATATTTTGATAGCCTGAGTGCCTGCTGTTGTTTTTTCTGGTGCTTTTGTATTTAGTCACGCTAAATTCTTCCAGACTTCTTCCAGGTGTATCTGGCAAACTTAATTATTTTTTCTTCTAAGTATGTTAGCCTGCATATCATATCAGCTCCATGATTTTTGGCTTGTGAGATTGTTACATTTTGGTTGTTCTTGCCTGGCTTAGTAGCTATGCTATTCCTGAAATATTAAATTCTTGAACATCAGCTGTTGATCCCCACACAAACCATAAGTAATGTGTTTATGTTCTTTGGTAGCTAGTGCAGCTCACAACATCCTACATTCTCAAAGCATTCACAGTACAATATTTCTTTACAATATAGCAATGCTATGATATTCTTCTATACACAAATATTTACCTGAATTTTCTTTATTAGTCTTCATCTTATTCTTT